GTGCTCGGCAGCAAACCCGGAAGTGGTCCCTGCTTCTGGCCCATTTCCCTGTGCTCCTCTGGGACACTTCATCTGCCCCGGCAGTGCAGCACTGATGAGCCGCCTGGTACCTTGAGGTATGTAGAAAAAACATTTCAAGCTATGTCCATGTCCGAATTGCCAAATCTTTCTGAATCTCTCCAAATTGATTTGGAGTATTCAGATTCGATTTGGAGAGATTAAGGGGTCTCCTGATTCAGTTCGGAAGTGGAGATACGGCCCTTAATTGGGCAGAATCTTCGCCAAATGGAATTGGGGACTGAAGCTTCGTATAGCCCCACTACATGGTAAGCAGCAAGGAGAGACCCCCCCGCAATGGCAACCATTTTAAGGGGAAAGGTGTGTGGCAGAGCACCTTTAGGTGCCTGCCACTTTAAGCACAAGTTCAGACAGTAAGGCAACTGGCAGGTGTGAGCTAGCCTTGATGAGCAAGTCACATGGCCACAGGCCGGGCCATGTGATTGGAGGAGAGGGCTGAGCAACCTCCATGTTAGCTCAGGCCTCAGGCCTGAGCCAGCAACAGTAGTAGTTGTAAGGCCCCAGAGAAAGGGCTGTGAGAGGCAGGCCCTAGGGTGAGGGCATGAGTGTAAACCCCAGACGGGGGCAGCGAGACCAAGGTTGATCTTTGGATGCCTGAGGCTGTAGTTGGGCCTGAGGCTGAGTGATTCAGCTCAGTGTGAGTTGTGGATGGAAGGGGTGAGTAGTTGCCCTAATGAGGGGGTGAGAACAACGAGTTATCTGGAGAGGGGCTTGGGTCAGAGCTCTGCCCAGGGTAAGGCAAATTGGCTGGTCACCGTTCAAGTGAAGTTTGGGAGCGGGCCCAAGAGGCTGCATGCCGGCAAGCCAAGGAGTGCGAGTAGGCAAGCCTGATGGCCTACGCAGTCGCTTAAGGGAGCAGGGCAGGTTGGGTGTGGCTCAGTGAGGGGCAGCAAGTAAGAGGCCTGGTGAGAGAAGGGAGAGTGGAAGAGGCCCCAGTGAGATGGGGTGGTATGAATGAGGCCCAGTGGGGCAGAGTGAAAGGACGAATGCATGAGACCTAGCAAGGGGCTGAGTTTGATCCAGCTACAAGCTGGAGTAAAGAACAACTCAAGGATGCCATCTGTGAGGCATGGGACATGATAAGGGAAGGTCAGAATAGTGTGCATCCCCCTAGGCATTGGGGTCTTAAATGGGCAGCCACCCACGTTGTTACAAACAGTATTTTAACAACAAGGCGTGGCAGGAGAGACTGGGCAGACTTCCCTAGACAGGTGGGTGGGCCGGTACTATGACTGGGCCCTGGAAGCATTGTCCCCTGTTACACATGGCAAAATATGATTTGTCAAAAGCAGAAAAAAGGATGTTGTCAAATGGAAATGGAAGATGATGAGAGCCTGAGCCAGTATTAGCAGTGTGAATGAGTAGGAGAGGTCAGATCTTAGAGATGTTATGCAGAAAGATTTGGCAAGCTGAAGATACAACTAGCATATGAAGACCTAGAGAAGTCAAAGATGTAACTCAGGGTAGTGAAAAGCAAGGAGGACAGTGGTTTTAAGACAGTGGAAAAGAAAAAGAGCTATGGGAAAGTTTAGTTCTGGTTTGTCTGTCAAACTTAAATTGATAGCTGAACACTTATGAGATGTCAGACAGGCCAAAATTGAATTTGGACAGAAATAGTTGCATCTGGAATGAAGATGCAGTTCTGTGAGTTTTCAAAATTGAGATGGTAGTTGAATGCAATAACAAAATTTTTATAACTATATCTTTCTTTTTCTCTGTTTTTAATGAAGATAGCTCTCGCTTTAAATTTTGCCACACATTATCATACAGTCTCAGAAGTCTCCAGTGAAGAATAATCACTTGTACAGCCTTTTAAAGGTAATCTCTGATCTCTGTCTCTCTGCTTCAGATTTTCATCACAGTGAATTGCCTGAGCACAGATTTTTCTTCACAAAAAGGTGTAAAGGGGCTTCCTTTGATGATTCAAATTGACACTTATAGCTACAATAATCGCAGCAATAAACCCATCCACCGAGCCTACTGCCAGATCAAGGTCTTTTGTGACAAGGTGAGTGAAGATAAGGTTGTGGAAAGTGGGGAGGATATCTCATTGGACAATTTGTGTTGCTATTGCTGTATATTAGTGCTAGGTAGAAAAAGACTTTTTATTCCAAGAAAAATGGCATTGATGGAGAAGTTTTGACAAGCCCTACTGTACATCTCATGAATCAGCTGCAGAGGATTTTAGTTCCTATGCAGCATCTTTGCACGTGATTCTTCCACTCATTAGTGTTTTTGAAATTTCTATCCAGCATTTATTTTTCCCATTTTGCAGATTAGGACAGATGGGTTAAAAGACATGCTCTAGGTCATGGAGAGACTTTGCTTTTAAAGTGAGGGTAAGATCTCAGTGAGTCCTGCCTTCCAGGTGTGTCTTCAGATCCCTGTCCAATTCCCTCTCTCATATTTCCCCCATCTTTCTAATTCCCTCATGGCAATAACATTTTCGAAGGTTAATCAGGTGGGTTTTAAAAATAGAGAAAAATGTTGCAAATAATGAATGTAAATGTATGCTCTGAAGTCGTCTTACAGCCTTAGTTCTATATTTTTTTAATTGTAACTTTGAATGTCAAATATTTACACGGATTTGAACATACAGCTGGCTGTTAATAGCTCAGTAAATATCAAAGGAACAAGTCTTTCATTTACCTGTTTTAGAAAAGTAATTAGAAAATCAGAATTATTAAAAAAAGTCTAGAGCATAGCCTCTTCAACAGTGACCTGTAGAAACTGTGGGGTTGAGATTTTGAATGATCAATGTGAATTGCTTTGTCTGTCCGCATAATTGATACTTCATGTTTCCAGGCTAGGAAACAGGAAATGAATGTTGATGCGTTTAATCATGACCATTTTCTAGTAGGAGAAGAGATCACAAGAGTAGTTAGTGTTACACAGATCAAAACTATGTTAAAGGTGGGGGCTGGAGGGCTCCAGGGGATTGGTAATGGACTAGTGGGCCTTTTAGCTTTAGGTTGGCCTGGGGCTGGCAGACTGAGAATCATACCTCTCTGAAACATGTTTAGCGGATTATGTGAAACGTTGTGGTGGGATCAGAGTCATTTTTTAACATATGAGGGCCCATCTCATAGACACTGGACCCTGATTTTCTTCTCACTTACACTGATGTCAATCAGGAGCATCTCCACTGAAATCAGTTGGTGCTATCATGGTGTAAAATATGAGCCAGGCAGGAGTAAATCAGGCCTGAAATTTAGGTCAGGTCTGGAGACTGAGCTACCCTTTGTACTCGCTCTTGTATGCATATGGTGTGGTTGTTCTAGGCTTCTTACAACTGGACAGCAAGACCTTCTCATTGACTTTAATCTGTGGCTTCAGTGAGACTGCAGAGTGAAAAGCACACAGTAGGGATTTCAGCACAAGTTGCAAGTGTTCTGTTGTGCCCTGCTGAAGCAATAAGAGAAATTCAGTTGACACAATGGAGGAGCATAAACTGAACATGAGCAAAACAGGATAGGGTCTGCCTGTCTAAGGTAGTGGAATGAAGAGAGGCACTGTTTTGTTTTGCTTTAAAAATACAAGAACTAGTATAGGTAGAATGTCAGGGGACTGCTTGCTCTTGCAGTTCTATTATATACCACCTAGTAACACAGAAAAAAAATTGTTCTGTTTATTAAACTAAAGAAAAAAGGAAGAAAATGTGGTATTGCTGCTCCTCCTCTTGATTTAATAAAATATCTTATGAAAACTGTTTCATAAAAGGAAAACATAACATCCTTTGCTATGTTTGCCAAAAACAGATTGTAATATTGTGTGAAAATCTGATGGCTAGAAAGTAGCTGGTTTATTATCATTGAGACAATTAAAGGAGTTGCAAAGTGACTCTCTCCAACATCAATAAATAGTGACATGAAGATAAATCTGAATAGGTTTTTTTTTTCATTTTTATTTTGGTTTTTAATTATGTAAGGAGTTCTCTTTAATATGGAAAAGAAAACAAAATATTTTTATCCTGACAGTATTGTTAACATACGAGAAGCAAGGGGGTTTGCAGTATCTCTTACTGGACCAACTGTAGAGTTGGGAGAGATATTAGATAAGCTTTCAGAAAAGGGGCATTGTGCTTGAAAGATTGACCAGCATTTCTCCCACCTATGTGGCTGCTCCAGTAAAAGATGCAGGCAGTCCTCAAACTTATGACGCAATTGGTTCCTGAAAACCATGTTTTAAGTCGAAACATTGTAACTCGGAACCAACTTTCCCATAGGAACAATGTTATAAATGGGGAATTGGTTCCTTTACCATGCTCCACACAGCTGTCTCTAGCTGGTAAGTCTGTTGGGGAATGGGGGAGCAGATCAATGCCCCCGCAGTGAGGGAGGGGATTTGGGCTGGGGCTAGGATGGGCTGGGACAATGGTGGCCCAGCCAGGGTAGGGGGATGTGGGGACAGGGTGGGTGGCTCCCGCTGCTGCGGGCTACCAGTCCAGCAGCTGCTTGCCTGGTAGCTTGTCCGGTGGCTCTTGTATTAGCTCCCACCACTGGTCCAGGAGGGGATGGGTGGGGGCCATGTGCCTCTGAATCTGCAGGACCGGGGCTACACTAGGCTGTGCTTCAGGTGGGTGGCAGAAGGCACTGGGAGTGGGGGTTATACCCTCTTGCCACTTGCCCAGCTGGAGCAGGGCAGAGCCATTGTGTTGCCTACGGACAAGCAGCACGCAGCAGCTGGAGGTTCCCCGGCCTCCCTGCACATCCTGGACAAGCCGCAGCTTTGCCCCACCCCACCCCAGCTAGGTGAATGGCAGTGGCAACAGTTGTAGGGCATGGGGGGTGGGGAGTGTGCCTCTGGATCGGAGTGGGGTGGGCAGCAGAGCGGAGGCTATGGTGGGGGGGAGGGCTGCAGCCACCCTAAGATTTGCTGTAGCCTATGCTGCCTGACCAGAGTGCAGCCTGCAGATCTGGGAGCACACTTCCCCTCCATGCCCTGCTACCGCTTGCCCAGCCGGGGTGGGGCAAGGCTGGGAGGCCAGGGCGGCTCTGGCCACTGCATGCTGCTTGTCCAGAGGCAATGCAGCAGCTTCGCCCCACCCCGCCCCAGCTGGGCAAGCAGCAGAAGGGCATAGTCTCCACTCTCAGCATCTTCTGCTGCCAGCCCAGAGTACAGCCTGTCACAGCCCCGGCCCTGCCTGCCCCATGTAGACCCGGGGGGCACGTGCCCTGCCATGCCCTCTCAGACCAGCAGTGTGCAGCAGCGGGAGCTGCCCCACGTGCCCCCACCTGCTGGGCAGCTCCTGTCCCAGCTCCAATCCCTCCCTCACTGCAGGGGCATTGATCTGCACCCCCAACCCCCCACCCTACGCCTCACCACAACAGACTTACCAGCTAGAGGCAGCTGTGTCCAGCGTCATAAAGTTGAAACCCTATCAGAACCTCGACACTGTTGTAATTTACAGAGGTTGTAAGTGCCATTTGTCGTAAATTGAACAGTTGTAAGTGGAGGACTGCCTGTACCATGAAAAGCCCCTCCCCTCTTGGGGATTTCCTGGACCATCACAGCTACAACTACACTCCATCCCTACTATGCTAGTGTTGTAAATAGTCATTTTGCAATCATCATGCCTTTTAAAGCAGTGATTCTCAACCAGGGTGCTGCAGCACCATGGGGTTCAGTGGGATCCTTTTAAGGGTGATACAGGGTGCCATGCAATATTAGCACTGTTAGGTGTACAAACACTACACATAATTCACATGATGATAAACCAGAGTTTTCAAATTGGAATCCATACTGTCAAAACCATTCTGACCTGCTGTGGTCTTTCTGGCTAGGGACAAAAGTTACACAGACCAGTTTAAGTGATCAGAAACTGGTTTAAACCTGTATCAGAACAGAAATTTAGTGCATACAAACCAGTTTCAAAATGGGCAAAACTGGTTTAAGATAAACCTGGTTGAATGTAGTATCAGACTTAACTGATTAGTGTCAAATCAGTTTATGGAACTTCTGTCCCAGACCCCTTCCTGGCTCAAGTTAAATCGAAGCCTCCCAGCATCCCAGTATGCTTTTCACCCCTGGGCTGGGCTGTCTTGTCTGCTTCAGAGAGAAGGGCTGGTCCCTCTCCTCTGCTCTCTAGCCGGAGCAAGGGCAGGGATGTGGTCAGACCCTGGCTGGCATGGCCTCCTACAGCAAAGGGGCAGGGCAGGGGTTTATTTCCTCTCCCTCCCCTCTCTCCCCAGGGGACTGCAGCAGAGATCTCCCTGGCTAGGGTGGAGCAGCCCCTGTCAGGTTCCCCCATCCCCTCGCTGCTCCAGTGGCAGGGGTGTGGACATGGCCAGATGCTGCCTGGCATGTGCCCACCATCCATCCACCTCATCCGGTGCTGTGGTGCTGAGTTGGGCCACAGGGGCAGGGCCCTTCCCAGCTGGCTGCAGCTTGGACTGGGGCCACGGGAGCTGTGTACCTGGACTGCTCCCAGTTCCCTTTGCCCAGGCTGGGCTGGGCTGTAATGGAACTATGGCCTACTGGGAAGGGCCCTGCCCCCACAACCTGGCCGAGCCTGGCCCAGACCCTCCGTGCCTACCTTCAGTAGTGCCTGCAACTGGTCCTGCTCAACCCTGGGTGAGGCAGGAGGATAGTGGGGCCAAGCCACGGGGGCATGGCCCTTCCCAACCTGCTGTGGCTCCACGACAGCCAGTCTGGCGTGCACGGGCAGCAGCTGGCTGGGCAGCAGTGCAGACGTGATGCCACTACAGTTGCAGCCGGGCACCTTCAGAGCTGGACTGGCCATGCAGGATAAGTACTTCATGCCTGTGGCTGCCCAGGCCAGCTTGGAGGCACTGGTGGGTCCAGAGCCTGGCAGCCGCCCACCACAAGGGCTTGTGTGCTTGCAGTTGCTGCCACATCCCCTGTATAGTGCCTGCTCATCTCTGTCTCGTGGCAGCTGCAGCTGGATGAGCAAGCACTGTGCAGGGGGCACAGCAGCTGTTTCAGGCACAGGAGATCCCACAACAGGCAGCTGCTGGGCTCTGGGCCCGCTGGCACCTCTGAGCTGGC